GGGGCACGGTGGGATTTGATGGGACTCCATGGGGCTTGATGGGACTCCATGGGGCACGATGGGGCAAAGTCATCAAGGTCCAATGGGACTTCGTGGGATTCGATGGGGCAAATTGGGATTCGATGGGGCAAGATGGGACTCGATGGGGCAAGTGGGATTTTGCCCCATTGGTGTATACCGGGCTTAAGAAAAATACTTATGATGAGCAAAATAACGTCATTTGATCATGCATTTCATTCGCCATGTGTTCTCTTAACTACTAGATTATTAAATGTTGCAACATACAACTAAACAAACTGTTTTAAATCAATACTCCAGGATAAATATGCAAAAATGTATGTTGAAATACTATTGTTATCACTAGTCCATCTGCGTGTGCAATCGATTTATTTCAATCCTTGCATAACAAACATTTAATCATAAAAGATGAAAGTTCTGCTTTTGTGAAAAAATCCTGGTCTAGATTCCAACACATCCCTGGTTTTTGCTCATGAATAAGTGCAGAACGCATCTTTCTACCATCATTGAGTGTGATGAGAGCATGTCTTTTACTATGTTGCCTCTCAAGTTTTACAATCTTTTGACCAATTTGTCCTGTAAAATACAAATATTTTTTAGGTATCATGTTTTATGGGACGACCGTATCGTTCATCTTAACTGTTACGCGGTATATGGCATACATTAATGGTTGCGCGGTATTTGTGATACGGGTGAATATGACATACTCACCTGCGGTATATGGCATATTCTGCAGGTGAGTATGCGATATTCCGCAGTGAATATGCGATACATCGATTTCAGTGAATACCCGATACTCACCTGCGGAATATGTCATACTCACTTGCGGAATATGCCATATACCGCAGGTGAATATGACATATACCGCAGGTGAAAACGTGATACAGAAAGCCTTGATTTGATTGGTTGCGAGAATCGACTCTAAATGTAAAACTACGCTGGATTACCAATATAATTAGTGCGTCGAGTACTAATATATGAATCCTGGATTGATTGAGTAAGTTTATTACGCGAGATTGGTGACTAATACTTCTGCTAAGTTAATATATTCGATACACAGTACTGTTGATTCAGTAATCATTATAATAATTTATAACGATTTACTTGTTCGTTCAATCGATGCAATTGACAATTGCGTACTTCCGTATCACTTTCTCATTGGTTAGTGTGTATGCCATATACCGCAGGTGAATCTGTCATACACCGCAAGTGAATATGCCATATTCGTTGCGGAATATGACATATTTTTGTATCGTGTTTACCGCGTAACATTAACCACAAGGTTTCGATTGCTCTAGACTCAGTGGAAAGAGACGATGCGTATCGTTTATCTTATATGAATAATGAATATTAAGTAGGTGCCGAGTCAAGTGGTTTACTGCGGTCCTAGGCCTAGGTAGCGCAGACGGGGGTCAGTTGAATTCTAAGCCAGCACATACACCATTGTTCCACAACTAGTTACTTTGACGGAACGTCAAACGTCAAAGTAACAAAATGGATGAACTTCCTGAATGCGAGTTTTTGTCTTCTCGATTTAAACTTACGAGTCATGTTGCGGATTATCATTTGGCACAAAGTTAGACAACATAGTCCAGCTTTGAGAAATGCTCTCGGTTTGGAATTTGATTTGTAAATAAAGCTGTAATTCATGCATTTAGACCATCGCTTATGTTACATTGACGTAAGTCGTCAAAGTAACATACATTGGTAATATAACGGATTTTCGTCAATGTAGCAAAAGCGAGGGGCTAAATATATGTATTGCAACTTCATTTACAAATCAAATTCCAAATCGAATAAACTTATTAAAACTAGCCCAGACTACATTTTCTACCTTTGTGCCAAATTATAATCTGTAACTTGACTAATAAGTAGGTTTAAATCAAGAAAACAAAAAACTCATAACCAGGAAGTTCGAATTCATCCATTTTGTTACATTGACGTTCCGTCAAAATAACTAGTTGTGGAACAGTGATATATGTAGGCGGGCACATAAGGCACATTGCGAGCAACAGTTATTTTACGTTTATTCAACTCACTGAATATTATTACTGTTTTGATTCAATATCATTATTAGATATTATTATTTGAAATGTACTGTACACTGATTACTATATATTCACATTATTGAACATTGAATTGTACTTATGTAATTGTTAATGAATTATAAGCAGTAGGAGTTAATTTCATCCGGTGGGTAGTCTACGTATCGTACTTGGACAAATCAGGCATGACAACAAAGGTATTAATTTTCAGCCATTCTTTTATTCATTGGCTACGCTAGAAAAATGTTAATCACGCGATACTAACTCACCGGGGCGTATCGGAACCAAAACGCCCCGCAAAACGGTTAATTTGAATTTCAAATCTACCCTATCTTTGGAAAATGAATGATTGTGAGTCTCACACTACGCCGTTTTTCTTCAAACTTGTTCCATTAAAACCTTCACAGAAACACCTTTCAGTCGAGACATTGCTTTTGTTTACAAAGTCCCTCATTTTAGCGGCGTTTTGGTCCCGAGATGTGAGAAGTTGCAAATCCTCAGAGATTTCAACCACAATCCTTGATATCTCGCCAGTTCTTCTATCACTCTCCCCCATATTCTGCGCAAGTACTCCCATTACGACCCTCCATCGCTGCACCAACATATTTATTAAATGAAACGCAGCAATTTTGAAAAGTCCTACGCAACTGTTCGAAATTGACCAAAACGCCCCGTTGTCTTCCAAAACGCCCCACAGAGTCTATGACTACTGATAAGGTGTATATCCAACGGGGCGTTTTGGAAGAGAACGGGGCGTTTTGATCAATTTCGAACAGATGCGTAGAACTTTTGGAAATTGCTGTGTTTAATGTAACAAATATGTTGATGCAGAGATTGAGGGTTGTAATGGGAGTCCTTGTGTAAAATATAGGGGAGAATAATAAAAGAACTGGCGATATCGAGGATTTTGGTTGAAATCTCTGAAGATTTGCATCTTCTCACATCTGGGGACCAAAACGCCGCTAAAACGAGTGACTCTGTACACAAAAGCAATGTCTCGAGTGAAAGGTATTTCTGTGAAGGTTTTAATGGAACAAGTTTGAAGAAAAATGGTGTACTGTGAGACTCACAATCATTGATTTTCCAAAGAAAGGGTAGGTTTGAAATTCAAATTAACGGTTTTGCGGGTCGTTTTGGTTTCGATACGCCCCGGTGAGTTAGTACCGCGTATTTATGGAAACACCGACCAAATCTAAATTTGAAGAGAAGTGGATTTAACATTGTTTCATGAAATTAGAGGTGGGCAGTTTGCCTCTCGATCAAAAAGTAGATTTCGAAAGAAACATTTCCATCCATATTTATCAAAAAATCCGAAGCGTTCGCTTATCTTTGCAAGGGATAAGTCGAAAGTAAATGATTGCCATGCTTGTTTTCGATTTGTTTGATATGATAATTTATTTATTATTACGTATTTGTGAGCTAATATCATATTTGTTTGCATTATCTAAATATTTATCAGTGTTTTCTCAGCATAACGTAACATATTCATTATTCTTGTTGTCGTACCAAGTAATAATTGATTAGTTTGAATTTAAAATATTATCAGCTTATTGCCGTACTTATGTTTACCTTAAAGGCAGAATCTGATCTATAGGGGGTACCAAAATTACAAGCAACATGTATAATTGACCTACCAATCTATTCCTTACAAGATCAAATACAATATCTCCCGGCCAAAAGATTCACATAATTTTAAAAATTGGTGAAGTTATTAATGATTCCATGGGCTTCTAGTTGAAAGCCCATGATGATTCAAAGTGCAAAATGAGTGAAAAATGTTTAAATTCTCCCAAATAATAAGAATGGTAACCATTCTTATAAAAAAATAATGCATTATTGTAAAAATCTTTAGTTTTCCTGGAATAAATTATGCTCTTGAGTGATATTTAGAAAATAGACATGTCAAGGAATGACATGAGCCAAAAATATTCTAAAATTGAAACAATTTTTGTTTAGACTGCTCGCTATATCTGATTCTCTCTTTAAGGTGCAAATGCACTATTGCAATATTCCCCAAGTCATTTTCCCATAAGAAAAACTAATGCCATTCCGGATGCCGGATATCTTTAAAAACGTGAAACTGAAAACACATGACTATACTGTTATACTCACCAAATATTCCATCAGTCTTCAGATCAATATCATGATCAAATTCAAAATTCAACCCTTCGCCATCCTTCACTGCACTTACACCCACCCCCTTATTGTACTGAAGTAAGATACGTTCCTTCGAAATCTTGAAAAAATAAAAAATGATTATGATATCATGTGCTTGCAAATTTTAATAGCATTCACGAATCTAGCCGCCAGCTGGCCAGGTCATATATGAATATGAATAGTTGAAGATCTGTACGATTTGGCTATTGAATAGTTGGTTAATCCGTCAACCGGCAGTTGAATTCGCCGAGGATGAATGCTACCTCAAGTACATTTTATAATGCAACTCTACCTCAATAGTCAACCCGGTTGTTTCCAGTTGCCGTTCGGACCAATCATAAACATCAACATTGTTCACAGTGATTGCATTCTTTGTGATCTGAACTATAGAGCCTTTAGTAACAACTGCAGCTTTATCTAACCAGTCGTGCTCTTGGAAACCAACATTAACCGTCAAACCTGGTAATCAAATATTAAATATTCTTAAATTACAGTAAGATATAAAAGTCGTGTTTGTATGTAAAGCCTAGTTTCATTCTGATCTCAGATCCTAATCTTGCTTCAGGATCCCTCAGAATCACATTTACCCATTCGGAAAGATTGCTGAGGTATCAAAGAATAGTAAGGTGTGTTTTTACCCTTGTGATCAATATTCCCGGGTGATACAAATAATCGCGTATATTCGTGTTTTCAACGGGTACTTGCTCGCGATTGAACGGGTCCTGGATTATACCCGTGTAAATTCGTAAAACTAATCACCGATACTTACCAACTTCTGGAGAATGGAATAAGCGAACAAAATTCTCTGGTTTTCCTGTCAGTATATAACAAACCTTATCACCCTGTAGGTTGATTTGCTTTACAAGGTGGGGGTCTCTATATGATTTATCTGAAAGAACCATAATCAACATGAATGAACATTGAACAACCCCATACATGTATGGTAATGGGACGGATAATTTGCAGAAAAGTGGATGTACCGCAAGACCTGTAAGTTCAGTTTTCATGTTATGCGTTTTATTAAACCGTAATAATTAGACCAAATGGTGATATTCCAATAAATTAAATCATCGCGTGAGAACTTATGTCTCATCTTTTTGAGTTTTTTCAGAAATTGACTTTTTTAACAATAAAACTGATTTTAAAGTTATTTTGATTAATTTTATGTAAGTTTATGCAAGTGAGTTTATGCAAATGTATGTGCCAGTGTGTCACATACAAACAACTAGAACAGAAGAAGTGATATAATAGCCTGCATACCAGTTTAGGTATATTCATCACTGGCGGATCCAGAAGCTAACAAGGGGGAGGGGCCAATTTCAAATTTTGGGCCAAAATTTTTGGGCCCAACCCAAAAAGATTCTGGGCTGAAAAAATTCAGTGCTCATTGAACTGGATTGAACAACGCATCTTAGACACTCTGTTGTGTGTGTATTCTGGATATTACCTGTAATAGTTTTGTAATCATTCACTCGTTTAATGAATTCTTCTTGCTTCACAGTTTTAATATTCTTATTATAGAAGTTTAGCCAGTATTTCGCTTGTGCCTCAAGCTCTCCTGCTTCAGGTAGTAGTGCTTCTGCTTCAGTAGTATGTAAATACAGTCTTGCAGCCAAAGCAGACAGAAATGGATCTCTAAGGTCTTCGTATGTAATCTCATTCCACTTGATTCCAAATATATCAAATACCCTTTTGTGATATCTTGCAAGTTTCGGATGTGATCTTATGTTCTGGGTATCGTCAAAGCCTATCTTAGACACCTGCCAAATAAAGACAACGACACACTCTGGAGCATAAGGAATATGTGGTAGCACAGCTTTTCAATCTCGAGAGATAGCAAACACATACAGGGTGTGCCGAAAGTATGCCCCCCCCCTAGGCAGACATATACCAGTGTCTTCATAGTATGTGTCATATATCATTTTAAAGCTTATCCAAAATTACATTGATTCGCCAAGTATCATGGTTCAACTTTCAAATGTGAAAAAATTACAGGCATTCCAAAATGTAAGTTACAACAGTAGTGTTTGGCCAAAATTAAGTTCAATTTTACACCAAATCACTAGTCAATGTGTCTTATAGACACAAAAATCACGAAGAATCCTTAATAATTGAGAAAATTAGTGGGTGTCATTTTTGTGTCACCCTGTACTTTACATGTTCATTGATGTTGTCGTATATGTTGCTTTGAGAAGAAAATATATCAATGGTAAAATAACTGGCACCATTCTTTTTTGTCACATGATCATCAGGAAAGTATAATAAATCATCAACAAGAACTACAAAAGTGGATAAAGTTGATGACACTTTCATTTTACTACATATGCACACCCTATGAAAACAGATCGCATAAAATTGAATTCTCATGTTGCCTGACCTGACATTAAGCAGGAAACTTGTTACATAGGGTGATTTTGGTATGTTTTTGAAGATTTTGGCACAAATTTTGGATACTGATCAAAATGAAGATGGAGCACAAACATTAAGGGATGACCGTGAAAATTGACCCAGTTTTTGACCTTGACCTAGAAAAAAAACGTTGACACATTCCCCTAGTTGACCAGATTGATACAGATGTGTAATAGCAGATAAAGTAATCACTTATAGTAGTCAAAATGTGTGTTAAAAAAGAATGAAGAAAGCTGACAAAAGTATTACACCCCAGATTTGAAATCTGAAGTCTAATAATTATGAGAATGATAGGTTTTGGCAGAGCTAAAAAATCTACTTATGCAATAAATAGATTTCAAAATTAAAAATAGACTCCAATATAAATGCAAAGTTCCTTTATGAAGGCATTGGAAAAGGCATTACTCACCTGCCAAATTCCACCTCTATCTCCCTTGTATGTGTTTGGATCCTCGCCATTGCGGGATTCAACTATTGCAATTTTTTCCATGAGGTCGCGTGTATCAGGACTGTCATCAAAATTTCCCAGTTTATTCAATGCATCTCTGACAACCTTTTTACCGGATTTTTGGGCAGATATACCTGAAGGATATTTATAGAACAGTTCGGTGCCTTATTATGACAAGAAAACCATTTTTATATGTTGGTATGGTTTCCTGTTCTTGCATTTGTGTACACTTGGTTCAACCTAACTTTTAGTTTCAAAAGGAATACAGAAGGTGTCATCTATTGCCTCCCATGGTTGGATATATCCACTCTGAATGTGGCCCTATTCCAAGAAGTGCTCGAAGGCAGTCATCGGGAAGCCGGCTTTTAAAAACTGGCTTTCAAAGCCGGCCATGGCAGTACCTACCATTTGCAATTTATATTCCTGACAATCTCAAATATAATATCTCCCAAAAGATCCAGGATATATTATGAATTGGTGAAGTTATGAAGATTCAAAGTGCAAAAATGGGGAAAGGTTTAAATTCTCCCAAAATAATAAACAAGGTAACCATATTTATAGACAAATGATTCAGTGAATGCATTTTTGTAAAAATCTTTAGTTTTCCTCAAATAAATTATCACTTTGTATTTTTAGATAGATATGACAAAGGGATGCTATTAGCCCAAAAAATATTCTAAAATTGAAACACTTTTCGTGAATATTTTGATGATAATTAATTAGTTATACTGATACACTTGCTAGATCTGATTCTGTCTTTAAAAGCACCAACTTTCTTTGCCATATCAATGGTATTTATATTGTACAGTGCAGAAAAGTACAAAAAGTGATTGTTTTTAGCATTTAGGAATATAAAATTGATTGATTAAGCTACCTTGTGTTAAGGTTATGAAGATTAATGTTGGTATCAAACATGTCTTGCAAAATCTTTGAAAACCATGGTGTATCTAAAATTTTATACAATAACTAAACAATACTATATTTGTTAAAATACGAACTTTTTACAGCTATAATTAAGTTTCCGGAAAACCAAAACAAATGTTGTTTTTTCAGAATGGCTAGAACATGTAAAATGCCTCCCTTGTCCAGAACACGGACGTATTGAGAAAATGTCAGTATGCAAATGTACTACCTTACCTAAGATTATAGTAAAAAGAAAGATCAAAAATGATTTTCCCATAATTGCTATCCTCTTCAGTGACTAGTGTTGTTGCCGTGGTAACCGTACACTGTATGTAAGGGTGAGACGCATCTCTCATCTCTCCACTGGTGTGAAAACCTTCGTAGTAATACTTAAAAAGCAATCATTTAATCTACTTTCAAAGTTCATTGTGTTCGTCTGATGTAATAACCAACAATATATCATGACATTAAATATAGAATTGTAAACATTTGGATAATTTTATTTCAAATACTTTCTCAAAGCAATTTATTTATTTCATTGTTTATTTTATCTAACGTTGTTATACGACTAAAATAGTTTGTACACTTTCCCTTTGAGGTAAACAGATAACTGCACAATTATCAAAACGTAATTTGTAATGATGTTTTTCATTCTCAAGTTCAAACATATGATTCTGTAGTCAGATGCTCAGATATCAATACTGAGAGTGATGAAAAACATTTTAAGTATCTATTGATTTATTCAGTGGCCTTTTTATGTTCTGTCTACAAAAATAAATGTTTTCAATGCCAACTAATATTGTATTTATTTCATAACCTATATCGTTTGCATTTTTCTAGTATTTTCAAATCAATTTATTCTGTTGCCTTTTTTATGTTCTGTCTACAAAAATAAATGTTTTCAATGTCAAGGCCATAAGAAGTAGATTCTTTGTTTTGCGTCCCCTTGCTTGCATGATTTTTAGTAAATCAGAAAAAACAAACAAATCCAAATAGCAATCAAAAGGGTCTGAAAGTACCATTGCATTTCGTTCAATCAGAAACAGATTAAATGGCGGATAATTTGATGTGCATAAAAATTGACAGTGTTGTTGATTACTTTGGTATGCATTATGCATTTTCCTATTTTTTACCCATCAATAATAGCTATGTTTAAATATATTGTATAAATATGTGTTGGTAATCACTGGAACTTGATATGTCATCCCTTTTTATGCCAATAAAATGTATACATTTCTGGGCAAACAAATTTGTGTTTTTTCTTGAGTTTGTGTTTGTTTTCCTTGTACACTTGCATGATTTGGATTTTTCCAGGACGCAAAACAAAGAATCTACTTCTTATGGCCCAACTAATATTGTATTTATTTCGTAACCTATATCGTTTGCATTTTTTCTAGTATTTTCAAATCAAAACACAAGCCAAAATACATTATTTTTTATGACAACACAGTTACCTGGTTACGCATCAGTTTCGGTAACAAAACGTCGGCACCACGAAGGTATGATTTTTCTTTTTTCCTTATTTCACGCGTTGTAGGCACAGTTCCTACGACATTTTTATCACAAGCGTGTGTCTACTGTATATCTTATGTTTAAGAAAATGTGCATGCTTGCGAACAAATAGTTTAGAAGACAACAGAATCTTCGATTTTAACCGTTTTTGAAGTTACATAAAATATTTTCAAAGTTGATTCCATTATAATTTCATAACAATCTTAGACACTTTCTTATTACATGAAACCCCAATTTCGATCAAATGTTGTCGTGAATCGCCACAATATGCCGTGTTCCATATTGTCAATGACAACGGATTCTGAATTTAAAATAATGAACAGATGTGACAACGGACTATGGTGGATGTATTACAATGGAACATTGGAGAAATGACAAAGGGAACTGTTGTCTTTTAAATGTCAAATATTACCGCTGTCTTCCCATTCTGTTACTCATCACATCTTTCTGCCTTCAACTAGAAAAATCTTTTTGAAAGAATAATAGAAGGCTTTTCATTATTATTTCTCACGATGTCATCCCGATTTAACATTTACCATTGTCATTTATACAGTATCTGTAGTCCAGTGTCATATTTTGATCGGTGAAATTAAAGCTTTATTTCGATGGTAAAACATATTTACTATACGATGAGTAGAAAGACACTTTGATTGATTGTTGTACCAAAGGAATTTAATCTAGATGCTCTATTAAACATGCAGTTAATGAAAATTGAATCGAATACGAACCTGTGGCCGCCACTTGTGACTTTAATTACCATGTCAGGGTGTTTCGGTGTGAGGATGCATGACGAATAGAATGCAAGTATATGTTCAGTAAAAAGAATAGTTAGTTCACCCTTTGCCAAAGGGTATTTTACTTCTTTCTATAAATTGAAAGAGTTCATAACCTAAACGCTTCCTGGTCATCTCAACCTCAAGTCAACTCAACCCAGTAAAACTCAACCCCGAGTCAACTCATTTAGAGTGATCTAATCATATTTTACGTCATTTTATTTTAGTTTTAAATATTGTAATAAGTTTGTTGTAATGCTTTTCAGATTGACTCTATTAGTCATTACTGATTTCTTTAATACATTAACATTGTTAAAAACATTGTTAATTGCCAAAATTGTATTTTCTAAAATTTTATTTAAAAGATGTTTAACTGTCTATCAAATATTTTTACAAGGTACGTATCGTTTAAATATGCAAGATGTTGGATTATTGAAGTTAATGAACTATAGAATTAAAGACATTGCAGAAATGAATTGGGTTGAGTTTTACTGGGGCGGAGTTTTACAGGGTTGAGTTGACTTGGCGTTGAGTTTTACTTGGTTGAGTTGACTTGGGGTTGAGATGGCCTGTCACCCTTTAAACCACCGTATTATTAATAGTTATATTATATCATTGTCACATTTCTCACCCTCTGATTGGTGTATGTCCTACACGTGACTAAAAATAAGAATTGATATTCAACGGCTGTACGCATGACTGGCAAATATCAAATGCTATCCATCAGTCATGAATTAGTCTAGTGTAATTTCAATTTTATATATTGGAAGTACATTGTTATCACTAAGTCGACATTAATAGTTCGTTGTTATTCCATTCATATGTCATATGAGCGAGGAATATAACAGTGAATAATAAAACAAATATTTATTCAATTTTCGGTGAGTTCCTGTGGCACTTGATGGCACAAAATGATATTTCATTAGCGCTTCTGGGTTCATGGAATACCACTTGTCAAAGTTGCACCTGTGCAAAGATGCACAGGCATGGTACTTACATCAACAGATTTAAATATTTGTATAATTTTTGACTTAACGTCCAAAGCATAACTCAACGAAATATTGTATTTTGGGAAAACACTAATTGTATTCTAAGTTTTGAAAATTCCGTAACAATCTGTTCTAAAAAGGCTCCAGGATAATCATAATAAAGTTCATCTGGGTGTCATCGAGTCATTTCAATCCTTGCATAACAAACACTTAATCTTAAAAGATGAAAGTTCAGGCTTTGTAAAAAAATTCTGGTCTAGATGCCAACACACTTCCTGTCTTTCTCCAGTAATAAGTCTAGAATGTATCTTTCTTCCATCATCGAGTGTGATGAGGGCACAAACTGCGCATGTATTTTGCCTCTCTAGACTTACGATTTTGTGACCAAGTCGTCCTATAAAATACATTATAAAAGTCTTTATGGAAATACACGTACACGCAATAAATTTATTTGGATTCGTTTGTTTTGGCTTAAATATTATTTATTTTGAAGTTTTCGGGATTTTCACTTGTTTTCTGGTTTCTGGCTCTCTTGCACAATCTATTTGAACTATACAAGGTGAGCTATTGCCACCAATCTCCCTTTTCACCTGTCTGTCCGTCCGTCTATCCATGTGTCCGTCCATCTATTTCTCCGTTTGAACATAGAAAGAAAGAAGCCAAAGAGTAAAAGAGGACCAATACAACAGAAGCTAGAAGAAACAAGGTGAAATCACGAAGACACCCCAAGCTCAACTACATAAAGAGGTCATGAAAAGCACACACACTGTATACCCTATCCCCATACTGTAGCCTGTTTTCTTTTAAAAGGAATATAGGCTACAGTGAACTTGCTTATGGATGACGTTCGTTTAATTTCATATTTCTAAATGTATACTATATTTTACATATTTTCCAAGTGTTCTACAATACATTGTATAGATTTATCAAATATTTTGCAGTGTATTATTACAAGAAAACCCCTACATAGATTAGATAGAGAATACCAGCTCCATTAAGGTGATCACGTGGTAGGGTATAGATAGCTTCTTACTATAAAGCACGGAGGTCTGTCTGTCCGTCCGTCCGCCCGTCCGTCTCATCCAAGACCATTTGCCCCAGGGCCCTCATACTTGGTCAACATATTAAATGGGTCCGTGGGAATTCTACAAAAGGTCAGAGAGACTCAGAGGTCAAGGTCATTCCAAGGTAAAATGTCAATATCTAATTGGCTTTTAAGACTCTTGGTCTAAGCTGTGACCCTTGACAACCCATAATTAAGTGACCTGAGGTCAAGGTCAACTTTAAGGGTCAGGGTCATTCCAAGGTCAAAGGTCAGTATCTTGATATTTGTCGTTTTAATGCCTTTATGGTCTGGTGTGACCCTTGACGACCCATGATTTGGTGATCTGAGGTCAAGATCATTGCTAGGTCAAAGGTCAATAGCTAGGTATTTGGTGATTTAAGGTCCGTTGGCTGTTGGGATATTTGCGACTAATAATTGGGTGACCTGGAGTCAAGGTCAATGTTCATGGGTCAAGGTCAACCCAAGGTCAAATTTTAATATCTATGTTTTTGGTGTTTTAACGACCAAGGCGACTCATGATTAGGTGACCTGAGGTCAAGGTCATGCTAGGTAAATTGAGTGGCGGCAATTGAATTTTCCCGTAATTCTTGTCATCAAAATTCCAAGAAAACCACTGATATTCTAAACTCTGACCTCAAATTTGGGAATTGAAATTTTCAAGGTCAATTTCGAATTCAAGAGCAGAATAGTGACCAAGTTCTGAATTGACTGACATACTGTGAAAATCGTTTGGCAGCCATTTTGAAATTTCCATAAATCTAAGTGTACTCTGTTGGTGATGTAGATAAGGGGGGGGGGGGGTCCATCGTCTTGGAGCAAGGCTACATTTATCCGTTCAACAATTTCTACAGATGTATAAGCAGACTAGTCCCAAGATCTGTTTTAGGCATGCAGGGAAAATAACAGTTTGGCCATTTTCCCCCGGCATTTTTTCTCTTCAAAGTGCGATATTTTTCACTGATTGTCTTGTATCAAAAATCACAAAACAGGTCTGAAATGATCTGTCGAGATACTACTATTGGTTGTCACTTCATTTGCTGAAATATCATATTTTGACCACAAGCATAGAAACTTTCAAATGAATTCTTGTATAAATTGAAAAACAGGCATGGAAACACATGAGCAGGTATACTTACCAAATACCCCATCAGTAATCAGATCGATATCATGATCAAATTTAAAATTCAACCCTTCGCCACTTTTAACTACACTGACACCCACGTCCTTATTGTGCTGAAGTAAGACACGTTCCTTTGAAATCTTAAAAAAGAAAAAAAGATATTTACTGTGCTTGGAAATTTCTAAGATCCATTTTTGTTCACAATTTTCTAAGATACATTTTACAATGCAACTCTACCTCAATAGTCAACCCGGTTGTTTCCAGTTGCCGTTCGGACCAATCATAAACATCATTGTTTACCGTGATTGCATTCAATGTGATCTGAACTATAGCATCTCTAGTAACAACTGCAGCTTTATCTAACCAACTGTGCTCTTGGAATCCAACGTTAACCGTCAAACCTGGTAATCAAATCATAAATATTGTGTATACATATAACGTAGATATAGAAACTGTATTTGACCGCCGAAACATCGAAAATTTTTAAATCGGGCTCAAAAGTGCAGATTCGGCACATCTTTAGCATTACTTCCGAGTTTGATTTTAATGAACCTATACAATAGCTACTAAAATATGTTTTTACCAAAGTAACTTAGAAATACTTGGGAGAAAAGCGGAAATGAGAGCTTTGGCTATTCAAATGCATGTATTAGATATCGACCGCATTAAATATATATTATATGACATTTGCATGATTTGAATAGGATGCTGCTCAATAATGATTGAAATGGTATTCATGACGAACTATTCAACTACAGGGTGTCCAATAAATAAGGTGAAAGATATTGTAACTTTCTTAATATTGCACAAATCTTGATGAAATTTTCAGAGTTTGTACCCCAAACCTTTTTACCTTTATTCCGTGAATTTACGTCTTCTATTTGATTGGCCAGAGTTGTGGTTGCTATAGCAACCGAAACAACAAAAAGGCGGGGCAAGTTTGTTTACGTCACAACTTTCCAAAACATTTTTATTCTTTCTGATAGCTTTATTCATTCACTCATTCGCTTTGCTCGCTCTTGTTGATATTTGACTATATTTCATCAACTCGGCGATAAAAATGATATCACTCAAAATGATGTGACATTCTGTATTAAGCTCAACCTAACCAGCATTGAGGGCAAAACATGTACTTATGATCTAATGAAATAAAGTGATCAAGATTGCTAACGTCAAGGAGAATTAAATGGTTGTAAACGCAATCATCAATACTCACCAAATTTTGGAGAATGGAACAAGCGAACAAAATTCCCTGGTTCTCCTACCAGGAAATAGCAAACCTTATCACCATGTAGGTTGATTTGCTTCACAAGAAAGGGGTCCCCGGAAGATGTATCTGAAATAACCATGACTTTAACTTAATGACACATATCCACCCCATTAGGTAATGAGAAAGTAATTTGCAGAGAAATTGATATACCGCAAAGGCTGCACTTTTTTTTTATTATAGAAGATCAATATTCTCCGGGCTTTTGGGCGTGTCATTAACAGGGGTCAAAAATATTAGTAAAAACTAAATTCCCCTTTTACAATTTGGAGTACATACTGCTACAGAAAAATTATATGAAATAAATTTTGAGTGTATGTTTTAGGTTTCTCAACTATAAATTTGATGTTATTTTTCTTAGAAATTATATAAGAATATTAATGGTATCGATGAATCGTTTTTATATAAGAATGAAATATGCTAAAATTGTGTTTTAGTTTTTCGAAAAATTGGTCTTAATACGTTTTGAGATATGGACTGTCACCGTCAGGGGTCAACTATCAATAAAGGGGGGGGGGGGGGGGCGTATTGTTCTTCATTGATTAACTGTGGCTTCGGCTAAAATTATTTTGCCCCCAGTCAGATATTGTCTAGTTGTTTATAAAACAACCGCCAAGATCTGGTCGGATTCATGAAGCTTTGAGAAAAAATGGTTTTGCTTCTCACAAAAAATCTGCTGATAACCAGCAGTTAGGTCTAAAAATAATGTATATTACCATCAAAAAATCGGCTGATATGCAGCAGTAACGTCGAAAGAGAAATGTAAGGCATTTGATTGCATATACAGGGTGGGGCAATAAAAATTGATGATACCTTATTCCGAATTTTAGATATGATTTTTTTTATTCTCCCCTACTCCCAATTTTTCAATTTCACTATTTCTATGTTTGTGCCGTTGCTAGGTGGTTTCTAGGCGACATTATCGGCCGAAATCATATTGAAAAAATACCAAGTCATACATTTATACTTCACCCTGGGTATAGTCTGTCACGTGACTTCATGGATGACGTGTGCGCGAGTGATTCGCATTTTCTTTCGCTTGAGGTTTGTAATCACACTTTTTACATGTTTTACGATTTTGTATCTCTGTGAAACTTGTCCCGTACCATCAATGTCTGAAGACGATCGAAATTCACACTTTTGTGTCTCGCAAAATGACGTGTGCGCGAGTAAATCGAATTTTACGAAGGATGGGTGCGCGAGTCTAACATATTTATATTCATTTTAAACAATTCTGCAAGCTAGACACAATATTGATTTTGTTCATCAGATATGAGCCCCTCTAAATATTGGGTGCGGAGCTACGTTTATGGAGCTGCTCCGCACCCAATATTTAGAGGGGGCTCATATCTGAAAAAATTTCCGAATTTTTATAAAATCACACAGATACTGCCTGGCTTCCAAGATGCAAAAATAATTTGTATAGATAGTGCACCTTGAACACCATTTTTTATGAATGCTGGGGACTCAGTATTAAAAGGATAATTTCAAAATATATAGGTCTGGGAAAGGTTTAAGGCACACTGCGTCGCTATAGAATGAATTGCGCTACTATTTTCACAATTGTATTGATATTTGGTGTCAAATACACATATCTTGGTATATTTGAAGTCCCAAAACGGCTTAGTTTCAGAAATATCCCAAATTTAAATTCAAAAATAACCGTTAGCTCCGCACCCTCCGCTCATTTGCTCCGCACCCAATATTTCCCACAGGCTCTGTCTGCATAGGGTGATTTATAGCGAACATTGATTTCTGAGTCTGTAAAAACAAAGTATGTGGGATCACCTTTGGTATACGCAGCTGACGAAATGGACCGGTATGGGTCAAAAGCTGGACCTGTACGGGTGAACTTTGGGGGTACTTAAAATCATTCGGAGGGATTATATATTTCAACTTAGATACGAAGAAGTCAATATTGAGCAAGTTATAGCTGTTTTAAATTCAAATAAAACCGTTAACTCGTACCGGTCCAGCTTTTGACCCGTACCGATCCATTTTGTCAGCTGCGCATACCAAGGGTGGGGATGCGGAAGAAGTTAGAAGCTCCTATAATTATTTGATATTACTTGGTATCATGGGCTTCCCCTTACTATTCCTTACATGGTTCTGATCGTGGCGGATGCCGAGTAACCACATAACAACTCTGACCCCCCCCCTTGTATGGGATGTCAATAAATGAATATGCTGCCGGTTTTATGAGACCGCCAAAAATTTAATTCAATTTTTGGTTCAAATTTTAATTCACCTGCAATGCCGGACAGCCCTACAAGCTATTTCAAAACATTTATTGTCATTAAACGTAGACATGTATGTGCCATACATGAAACATCTACAAAATAGCAAACTATTCTTTAACATACTACTTTAAGATGACAAAAACAAATGTCACGTGAGTTGTATTCTGCCTTAGCTTGCAGAATTGTCTCAAGTGAATAAAAATATTTTAGACTCGTGCACCCATCCTTCGTAAAATTCAATTTACTAGCGCACACGTCATTTTGCGAGACACAAAAGTGCGAATTTCTCTTTAACCGGGACACGCTTGGATGAGATATTTGGTGAATTAGATCGTCTTCAGACATTGATGGTACGGGACAAGTTTCACAGAGATACAAAATCTTAAAACATGTAAAAAGTGTGATTACAAACCTCAAGCGAAAGAAAATGCGAATCACTCGCGCACACGTCATCCATGAAGTCACGTGACAGACTATACCCAGGGTGTACTTTGCATACTCGTATTTAGCAAAATACGGAAACGTTTTAATATGGTCACTATTGATCATGTAAAACGGTAGTGTTCACGATCAATGCCAGTATGATGCCATCTTTTAAGATATCTCACAGGAAGAAATGTAATATGTAACGTAATTAAAAAGTTAAAAGTCTTGAATTTTTGACCTACCTGATGTTTGAAAATCAAGGATTACGAGTCTCATACTGCACCGTTTTTCTTCAAATTTGTTCCATTCAAAGCATAACAAAAATCCTTTTCTGATGGTACATTATTCTCTTAAACAGAGTCCCTACTTCCAGCGGCACTTTGGTCCCAAGCTGTAAGAAGGCCTTCCAACAGCTGGGGTCCAAAACACTGCTAGAACGAGGGACTCTTTACAATAAAGTAATGCACCGACAGAAAGGCAATTTTGTTTTGCTTTTTATGGTATAAGTTTGAAGAAAAACGGTGCAGTATGAGATTCACAATCCTTGATTTTCAAGCATCTGGAAGTCAGAAATTCAAATTAACGGTCTAAGTTAGTACCGCGTGATTACATAACAATCATTATTTAAAATTTTGCATCATTTTATCATTGGTAACGTACATGTATTATCTTAAAGTACCTGTAATTCCCTTAGTTGTGTCTTTATCTTCCCCACCTGTCTGTTTCTCAATGGTAGTACTCTTCTGTTCTGTATCTAAAATAAGACAAGCTCAAATTAAAAAATCAAAGAAAAGACTAATGAGACGTTAGACTTTTGTGAAGCATTGTTTTTATTGTGTAGGCTACTTACACCCCAGTCACATTTGTCGACCGCAGATCAGTGATATCAGTAGATTTCTGCGGCGAGCGTAGGAAAACTACGGTCGCCTTGCGGTCTCCATACGGCGAATGCATATTTTTTATTACAGGGGTAGGCGTAGAAATTATAACTTTGAGTTATAACATTTTTTCATTTCTGCGGTCCCGTAGAAATCAACAAGTCGTAGCCAGACCGCAGAATGGTTCCACGGCGGCCACATGTCGGGCTTACGGTCGACTTGCGTCTGCCGTAGGGTTTCGATGGGTAATGTACCCATATATTCACAAATCACATATCATAACATATATATGATCTCATATTTTTTTCAAGTGAAAAAAAGACAATTTCATTTTTATTATGATCTATTTAAACTACTTACATGTAACTGTACACATTCGACTTTCTTTCTACAGACGAGTCCATTTTTATGTCCCAACCACATAGTGTGGGGCCATATTGTCGGCCTAGGCGCGTCCGTCCGTCTGTCTGTCCGTCTGTCCGTACGTCCGGCAGTTTTCTCCAAAACAGCTACAGATATCACCTTCAAATTTTCAGGGATAACTTATGAGTGCATACAGATGTGGATGAAAAAAATTTAACTCGATACCTACTTCCTGTCGGCCATTTTGAAGTCAAATGCTAAAATCCTTGTCTGCAAACTTTAAGAAAAACGGCTTCACAGTTGCTTTTAAAACTTTAATATCTTGTTCAGCTCACTTCATTCTACATCTGATTAGGTTTTGGACCTGTTAGCTCAGTCATGTCAGCCATTTTGAATGTTTTAAGAAAAGTTAGCGCGCGATAATACTTTGTATCATATTGAATGGTGTTTTTCAGTTTTCATACTTTAACTATTTAGTAGCTTTATAAATAATTTCAGGTGTACTTTGTTGTAATAGCCTATGTTATTGTTAACAGTAGTTATATGTGATAATTTTGTAAGAAGAAATCAGCAAAAACTCATCATCACTTTTTTATTGTCGGCCATTTTGGATTTTTCCGTCCTAAAATCTTGTCTGTAAAGTCTTGTCTACGCATTTCCAGGTGAACCGTTTGGTAGATCAATTTCTAATTTTCAGGGATGATTCTTAGTATGAAAATCTAGATCTGATCAGTTTTTGGGCATTCTGGGTAAATGTCAAGGCAGCCATTTTGGATTTTTCCGTCCTAAAATCTTGTCTGTAAAGTCTTATCTACGCATTTACAGGTGAACCGTTTGGTAGATCAATTTCTAATTTTCAGGGATGATTCTTAGTATGAAAATCTAGATCTGATTAGTTTTCGGGCATTCTTGGTAAATGTCAAGGCAGCCATTTTGGATTTTCCGTCCAAAAATCTTGTCGTAAAGTCTTGTCTACGCATTTCCAGGTGAACCGTTTGGTAGATCAATTTCAAATTTTCAGGGATGATTCATAGTATGAAAATCTAGATCTGATTAGTTTTCGGGCATTCTGGGTAATGTCAAGGCAGCCATTTTGGATTTTCCGTCCTAAAATCTTGTCTGTAAAGTCTTGTCTACGCATTTCCAGGTGAACCGTTTGGTAGATCAATTTCTATAATGTCAAGGCAGCCATTTTGGATTTTCCGTCCTAAAATCTTGTCTGTAAAGTCTTGTCTACGCATTTCCAGGTGAACCGTTTGGTAGATCAATTTCAAATTTTCAGGGATGGTTCTTAGTATGAAAATCTACATCTGATTAGTTTCTTGGCATTCTGGGTAAATGTCAAGGCAGCCATTTTGGATTTTCCGTCCTAAAATCTTGCCTGTAAAGTCTTGTCTATGTGTTTCAGGTGAACTGTTTGGTATATCAATTTCTAATTTTCAGGGATGATTCCTTGTATTAAAATCTAGAACTGATTAGTTTTTTTCGAGGTCTCCTCTGCCGAAGGCAGCGCAAAGTAGGAGCGTAGCGACTACTTTGCGGGAGACCTCGAACCATTGATCACGTTTGTTCCTGTAATTATTCACTTCTTCACCTCTTTAAAATGAGATTTCAATCAGTTGATCAAATCTTCGGACTTTGACCTCAATTTCAAATATAGATATTTATAAGAAAAAATACTGACTCATTATTATATTTTTAAAAGTCTTTCAAATAAAGTGAAATGGAGCCAAAATCAGCTAAAATTATGCAATGTCGTAAAATGGCGTTTCTAGAATATGATGCAATCACCCGTGACGTCACAGACACGTATCGCCACATCAACAACTAAAACAATTAATATAGACTTCACTGATTGGTTTAATGATTCTTCGCATCATTTGTGACGTCATAAACATGTTACCCAACCAACAACTAAACAAATAATAACTAATAGGCATATAGGTTCGTTCAGTGCCACGCTCGGATAATCAACAGATATATGATAGGGTCAGGAATTTTTTTGACTTGGAGACCTCGACTCGAGGAGTTTGCTGCATTTTCTTGTTTGCATTCTGGATAAATGTCAAGGCAGCCATTTTGGATTTTCCGTCCTAAAATCTTGTCTGTAAAGTTTTGTCTACGCGTTTTCAGGTGAACCGTTTGGTAGATCAATTTCAAAATTTCAGGGATGATTCTTAGTATGAAAATCTAGAACTGATTAGTTTTTTGGCATTCTGGGCAAATGTCAATGCAGCCATTTTGGATTTTTCCGTCCTAAAATCTTGTCTGTAGAGTCTTGTTTACGCATTTTTTTGTTTACTGTTGACGGATCAATTTCAAATTTTCAGGGTTGGTTCGAAAATCTAGAGCTGACTAATTTTCTGGCATTCTGGGTAAATTTTAAGGTGGCCATTTTGCATTTTCCGTCCCAAAATTGTAACGATAAAGTCTTGACTACTCATTATCAGGATATCCATTTGACAGGATCACCCATTGGTGGGGACATATTGTACACGTTTGTGTTCTTGTATGAAATTTGTTGCCTACTCTCTGCCAATTTTGCAATTTCACGCGGTGCCAACAACGACCGTTAATTTGAATTTTAGATCTACCCCATGTTTGAAAATCAAGGATTGTGAGTCTGATGCTGCGCCGTTTTACATCAAACTTGTTCCATTAAAAGCCAAATGCCCTTGTATAACAGAGTAATGCACCAACAGAAAGGCATTTTTGTTTTGCTTTGAATGGAACAAGTTTGAACAAATTTATATTATATCCTAGCTCTATAAATATCATTTATAAATAGTACTTACAGCATATGATGTCAACGTACGTTTGCCACAGGGCTCCTTTGCACCTGCTTTTGTATCCGCAAATAACTACGCCCTCCGTAGGAAGACCGTACGGCGACCGTCATTCACGATTTAAAAGGTCGCACGCCGTACGGTTGTCGTAGGAAATATGACTGCAAAGGTGTCCGACCGCAGAAATTCTATGGCGAGCGTAGAAATGTTACTGACCGCAGAAATGATAGACCGCGCAGCGGCCGTAGGAAATGTGACTGAGGCGTTAAGCTTATTGCAAGAAATTCAAATGAGGTAACTGTTTTATGCTTCCAAATATTCAACAGTGGCACCACGGTGGACACGATTTAAGAGATTCATTGAATTTCAACAAAATTGCTCCACTGCTTTTCCAGTTAACGTAAACACTGGTGATCCACTCGATTACGCTGGTTACCGTAACGGTTCGTTTTGGTAACAAAATGTCGGAACGTCGAAGGTACGATTATTCTTTTTTGCATATTTCGATCGTTGTAGGCTGAATAACCACGACATTTTTTCTAACAAACGTGTATCAGTATCATATGTTTTATAAAAGATACATGTTTGCGAAAAAATAGCTCAGAAGACAACAGAATGATCGTCGATTTAATTCCTCACTTAAGTTACATAAACGGTGAGGGTTAAAAGTGCAGATCTTAACTGTTTTTCGAAATACCGTTCGGTAACTTAAGTGAGGGATTTAATCGGCGATTGCGTTGTCTTCTGAACTATTTGTTCGCAAATGTGTACATTTTCTTAATCATATGATACTGATTCACGTCTGTGATAAAAAATGTCGTGGGGATTCTGCCTACAACGTGTGAATTAAGGAAAAAAGAAAAACCGTGCCTTCGACGTTCCGACATTTTCTTACCAAAACGAACCGTTTCGGTAACCAGCGTAATCGAGTGGATCACCAGTGGTAAAAGAACACATAAAATTGGAACCATTTTTCCCGAAATGGCCTCTCACTAGCTCAGTTGTCATGAAGTAATATTATATAAGTTTTGAATCGCGTGACATCGGAAGTTCGGCCATGATGAAACGAGGACAACACAGCCTACACATCAGTTGTTTTGGCTTTTCCGTTTGAATGTATTTTTTGAAATGAATTGCCCGAAGCATCTGGATTTTTATGTCACCACCAAAAAGTGGTGACATTTTGTTATGGTCGCCGTTTTTTGTCACGGCGGTTGGTGATCGGCGGTTGGTGGTTTGTGGTTGGCGATCGGCGGGTGGCGTCTGTAACAAAGTTTTAAAACTTCCAACTACTTCACAAATACGGTTTAGACTGACTTCAAAATCATCTTTCAGAAGTTTTCAGAAGTTCAAATCTGACTTTATATTTAAGATTTGACCTTCAGGGACCTTTTCAAGGTAAAAAATTTTTTTTTACACTTGCTTCAAATTGACCAATTTTTTATAAAATCATCTACAAGTTATCAGAAGTTCAAATCTGACTATACTATCTATACTATATTTAAGAATTGACCTTCAGTGACCGTTTCGAGGTCAAAAAAGATAAAAAAAGGTCAAGGAGGCATTTTTTCAACTTGCTTCAAATTGACCAATTTGGGCAAAATCATCTACAAGTTCAAATCTCACGTTAGACCTTCATTGACCTTCTCAAGGTCAAAAAGGTCGAAAATGTCTTTTTGTCAACTTGCTTTAAATTGACCATCTTTTTCAAAAGCATCTAGAAGTTCTCAAAAGTTCAAATCCGACTATAAATTTGACCTTCATTGAGATTCTCAAGGTCAAAAAATATTTGACCTTCAATGACCTTCTCAAAGTCAAAGAAGGCCTTTTTCCACTTGCTTCAATTTTTCAAAATCATCCACAAGTTCTCAGAAGTCCAACTCTGACTTTAGACTTGAGATTTTACCTACAATGACCTACAATGAAGTCTTTTTTCAACTTGCTTCAAAATCATCTAAAAGTTCTCAGAAATTCAAATCCGACTGAAGATTGAACTAATAATATTGTGAGCAACTAAGTGGTGACATTTTGTCATGTTAATGCCTTGTTAAACCCTGCTATTGGTGTCCTTCCGCATATTACCTTTGACTGTTTCCAAAAATTTCGCCTGTCCCTCGTGGTCTCCTGCTTTGGGAATCGGCTTTTTATTAATACCCAGTATATATAGTAATGCACTCAAAATAGCTTTGAATCGGTTATTTTTCAGTTGTTTAGGTGTAACCTTCATCCAGTCGATCCTAAAATGCTCCGTAATCTTTTTGTGAAGTTCACTCAACAGATTATCCAGTGTAAGGTCAAAAATCTCTCTACCAAACTGTCAAACAGACAATGCCTTGATCACGAGAAGAAGAATTTTGGGGCAAGAGATTCGGGTCGGTATCCATGAATTCTTTAGCCTCTGACCCCCACTCCTATCAGGCGGGGAGGGGGTAACTTATAAAAAATATGTAAAAATGTTTTGTTTTCTTTAAATGACTTCATTCGGTGTTTGCTTTGAGCTTTGAAATTGTGTAACCATTTTAGAATCGGTATTTAATTAGTGGCATTTTATAATATTTTTGAAGATGAATGCAACTCATATGAGCTCAAAATGGTGCGTCTAATCTTGTTTTATCATTTGTGTCTAATTACAGAAAATTATTCTAAGGCAGCATCTTATATGCATTCAATTGCAACAAAACTTGGTATATATATCCCCTGTGGAATAGGGTATAGAATGAACATACTCTTTAATTTATTCCAATAGATACCTAGCAACAGTGGTTACCATGGCAATGTTTGCCAGGGGTCTGTGTGGCAGCTAAAAAATTACCCGAAACTAGGGCACATTTACCTTATAATTTTCCAAAAATTAACAGTTAATTTACAAAGAATAGGTATCGATATGGTGAACTGAGTTCAACAATGTTTTTCTCTTAAACCAATTATTGAAAACATTCTGTAATAAACACGGTCCTTTATGTAATTTTGACTGATTGACAACAATTTAATGCGAAAATTATTTATATATATTTTATATAACATCTTTTGTTTTTTAGTGCAATTGTTTTTTGTTCCTTTCTACCAATTCTTGAGAATGAAATAAAATGCTTCTCAGACCTCTCAATATTATCATCATACAAAGGAAATTTTGGTTGATTTAACAAAAAGTATTCAAAAAATTGAAACAAAAAACCAATAATAAATAAAAATTAAGATAAAACCCTTTATTTCATTAACAAGATACTTTTTAAAAATCAACCAAACTTTCCTTTGTACAACTACAATGAGAGACCTAAACACGTTGTGTTTATGTCGCTTTGTTCCAATGAGGTTCGGAAAGATGTTTCCTTTCACTTCGAACATATGATACCAAGAACAAAAGAAGTGTCTGATTTAGAGAAAAGCATATTATATCTTTTTTTCAAATTATATTGTTACCACCATTAAATTGATGATGTGTGATCTTTTAGAATGGCTAGTTTAATTGATGACTGGTTTAAGAGAAACGAGTGTTCAAAAAGTTCACCATATCGATACCAATCCCTGTGTTTACATATTATCTTGAGGCAATTGTTATGACAACATAACCAATTGTGATGTCATATCTTGCATATTATGTCACATATGACTGTTACATCAGATGCACTGCCATTTCACGAAAGTTTTCACCACTGCTTAAATTACACAATTGCAAAATAAATAATATAGTAAAATGTTTGTTAGATTTGAAACAAAATGTCTATCAAATGTACAGGTTTTGACAGAGAGATCAATTATTTAGTTAACGCAAGAAGTTTCACATCAACTGAAGGTGACTACCGATGGGAGGGATGAAATCATCGTTGAGGGGGCTAGCATTTGCAAATAAAGCAAGTTTCAGGTAATTAAGATTTTCAACATCTAAAAAGTCATTCGACTTTTTTGTGATTATGAGTCAAAGAAAGCATTCTTGAGTTTCAAATTGACTTCTGTGGTAACTTCAAACCATCTTCTACTTTATTTCACTTACCTTTTATTGTTGCTCCAAATATGTTCTTTGAAAATCGGATTTTAAGGGTGTTAATCAGGGCAATTCTGTGCCATTTTAATCAAAAATCTTGTTGCTACCTAGAAACGAGCAATTGTGATCTTGCTGCTACCTAGCAACGAGCAACTGTGAAGTCACGTCACACTCATGTTAATTCTGGAATCACATGGCAGCCATTTTGGAAATTTCAAAAAAGTTCCCAATTAAAAAGGCTAAATGCTGTTTACAAATTGGAAACTATTGCAGAATCAACAAAGGGTTTGTAAAATAATTAGGATATGGTTTCAAAATTATGCACATGACAATGTATGACTACTAAGTGCAGGCAGGGACTTTTAATTGCCAAAAAGTTGAGTGTCAAAAAGCATTGGTATCTACCTTAGAAACAAAGTTCATCCCCCATGCACCAGAGGGAAAATGAAAATTGTTCCAATTTTTTTACATCTAATAAGGAATAATATGACAACACAAGACTAGATGCACGATTTTGAGCTCATATGAGATGCCTTGGAATATGGTTTAGTGTTCCCAGGAGATGCATACAGTGTATGGTCCTTTAAACGATGAATTCTTGCTAGATGATTGGGCTAAAATGTATTTTTCCTCATTAAATACCACATCTGAAAAGGGTTTCACACAATGTTAAGGCTTAAAGCAATCACCATTTTGATAACACGAAGACCATCCCATATCACCTGCCCCGAAATCATTTTTCACTCAGATCATATGTTTCTACAACTGTGCCGATTTTGTTGCTTTCCTGAAAAAGATAACTATACCGCTAAATATACAGTGTGTCTTCAAAAACGCAACAAACAAAAACATTGAAAAATCACAAATCCAGTGATACCTAAATCAATTGTATTTATGAACCATGAAGCCACATGTCTCTTCTTTCCAATGATATGTCATTTATTCAAATATGACCATGGATCACCGAATAATCATTCATTTTGCACAATGGTCCAACATCTGTCCTGGTCCCAGTTTTAGACATTGTATACTACGACAGAGAATTACCAATGAGGCTGCTGGTCTCTACCAGAACCCACATATGATTCAAAAAGCTTTGCGTGACATGAAGAGATGAGCCAATACACTGGTGATCCACTCGATTACGCTGGGACCGTTTTGGTAACAAAATGTCGGACCGTCGAAGGCACGATTTTCATTTTTTCCTTATTTCACACGTTGTAGGCAGAATTCCCACGACATTTTTATCACAAACGTGTATCAGTATCATATAAGAAAATGTACATATTTGTGAACAAATAGTTCAGAAGACAACTGAATCGTTGATTTAATCCCTCACTTAAGTTACCGAAACGGTACTTCGAAAAACAGTTAAGATCTGCACTTTTAACCCTTACCGTTTATGTAACTTAAGTGAGGAATTAAATCAACGATTCTGTTGTCTTCTGAGCTATTTTTTCGCAAACATGTACCTTTTATAAAACATATGATACTGATACATGTTTTTGTGAAAAAATGTCGTGGGGATTCTGCCTAAAACGAGCGAAATAAGCAAAAAAGAAAAATCGTACCTTCGACGTTCCGACAATTTGTTACCAAAACGAACCGTTTCGGTAACCAGCGTAATCGAGCGGATCACCAGTGCAATATCTACTTGCAGAGAAATGATGGGCACGGTATGTAATTTGCATGAGTAAGATAACATAACATTCATGCATAAGATAACAAAAAATGATAGTAACTTTAACTGACTTAACTTTTAATAATGCCACTTCTTTTTCCATATATGTAATGTGATGTTAATTAAACTATTATGGATACCGATAAACAAATTATTAAGTGAAATCATCTTTTCTTAGTAGAAGTCTGATGTGTATGCCATATAAGTCTTGTCATCAAACGTTAATCCCTAGCCCCAATAGACTAGATGTGAGTAGACATAACCTTGATTGACGTCATTAAATATTCAAAATTCAGTCAAAATGATGTCATATTTGAAATCTACTTATAAAAGTGCATATAGAAATATGGTTTCATTGTAAATTAAATGAAAATGATGTAATTATCACTGGATTTGTGTTATAACAATTTTTCTATTTGTTGCGTTTTAAACTGTATTGATGACATTTTTTATTTTACTGAATAAAAAAGGGGGGGGGGGGGTGTTTATAAGCATAAATATATTTGGAATACATAACATAAGTGCTTAGAGAGCTGAGAAAACGAGAGTTATATTCCTAAATAGAAAATAAACAACACAATTTGTTTCCAGGTTTCAATAAACGATTTGAAAGCCCGGACCATCTTCCGATCCCCAGAAAAGATATCATATTACGTTTTCTATAGAAAGAATGGAAAGGTCATTTAAATGTGATTTAAATGACATAACTATATGAATCAAACTTATTATTGTGGAAAAGCTCTCACTGAATTCAAATATGTTTTTGAAAGAAGGAAATGGAAGTCATTAAAGATGTCATGTACAAATATCTTACAATCACATAAAAAACATGAATTTTAAAGATTTCAAAGCTACATTGAACTTATTAATTAAAATAATAATAAAAATAGTCTGAACATGATGCACTAATTTTGTTAGAATCATATATCATCAATAATATAAATTAAGAAGATTCATATAAATAAAGAATTAAAAATACATTTGTGAATGGATGTTGACCCTTTAAAACGCCTATGAACTTGGAGACTGGATTTTATCTATCCCACATCATTTGAGACTGAATGCTCTATATTGTATGAGTACTTGTATCTACAACAATTTTTGATGTTATGAGTATTGGCTATCAATTTCTAATTTTTTTCTTCAACATGTATTGTAATGACTTCAGTATGAATGAAATGTCCCTTGGTCTTCTGGTCTTGGATTGCGATATTGGTTCTTGAATGGTGGGGGAAATGGGGTATTAGACATTGTTTCTTTTCACGTTAGACCATTGTTTTGGACTATATGGATTTTGTTTTTCTTGACTGGTATGCACTTAGAGTTTGATTTTTCAAGCTAAGTTCCAATATAACTTTTGGATCTTTCCCTTTGGCACTAGTGCTTATAATAGACACCCCAAAACCTTTTTGCGACGTATTTGAAACAGGCATCTAGTAGATGGATGTCAAAATGTTTTATGATATAAATGTTGCCATTTGTGAAAAGGATTTAAGCAAGATTTCTTATGAATCGTAATTTCTAAATATGTACTTAATCAATTTACTCGGAGATTTCTTTCTTTAAAATCAAAACATATTTAAATTTCTGATATAATTTCAAAGAATATATCATATACCAATATCAATGAATTACGCTGCGTGTTTAACTTCAATACATGTTATGAAATATATGCTTATATTTTTTCATATTTCATATTTCCTTCATATTTTTCTTACTGAAGCTAATAATTGCAAAAAACGAAAGACGGATTTCAAGAAAAGCACGTGACTTTAGGCCTTTGCTATGGTATATCCTGGCAACTCGCGAGACTGCGCCTCTAAAACCAATAAAATAAATAATTATTGTAATCAAATGGAGAATGCCTTTCAATGATACATTGCATATGCCTCTAGTTGCTTCTTCAAGCGAAAGCTTAAGAAAGTTGTGGTATTTGTCTATCAGTGTCAAGTTAAAAAATGTTTAAATGACTTGTAACAATCATTCGATCCCAAATAACACCATTTTACTATAAACATGTATACTAATGAAATGTAAATCATCCTATTTTTGTAAAGAGTTTTCCAGCAAGTTTTTGGCAGAGCTACAGATTTTCTACACATACAAAACTAGATTTCAAAATGAAAAACAATTGCACAATAATGTCAAAAGTCCTTTTAGAGCACAATGAAAATTTATGTATTACCCACCTGAAGTATTCCAACGCTATTCTTCAAAAGGTCGAGTATATCAGGATTGTCAATAAATGTACTTAGCTTTTCCAATAGTCTGTTCGGAACCTGTGTATAAGATGAAGAATATTGCTTGTAAATAATTGGCAATTCTAGTGTTTATTTGGTCTGAATTTGCAAGCAATGAGAATCACTGCGAGAATGCAGATGACAGCTGATTATATGGAACAACGACATAATCAGTTGCATATATGAAACATAGACAGAGAATACTGACTGCATATACAGGTATTGTCGCTTACTATATTTGCTTATATTCAGACATAACTTGCATATTTGCAGTATATTTGTGACTATACTCAGCATAGAAACTGCATATACCTGTTATTTGGGATACAAAAATATAAGTAGGTGTGTAAACTGGATACATACTGATATTAAACTAAATATATTTGCAAGTACGGAAACGTGATCACGGCACAACCAATTTTATTAGTATGTTTGTTGTTCCTGTATGATCATACACAGCACAGGAATTTCGTATTCTTGCTTGTCGTGAAAGCGTCTTTAAAGTCGTAGAGATTAGAAAGCAAGAGCAAGAGCTTTAAATGCGTAATTCAGGATTCTCTTAAGGGGACACTGATGCTTCATCGGAAGCATCAGTGTAAAGATAGAACTATGCATGATATCGACTTGTAACATTTACTGTAAAAAGTATAATGAAGAGGTGCATATTCGATTTTCTTTTCGGGGTTCACCAGCAAGCTTTTGACATTCCTAGAAAAATCTTACAAAACTCAAAACCTTGTCACCATCGAAAATTAAGGTAATATTCACCTTATTGTCATCTTCTGGATCCTCCGTAGTTTGATCCTCCGGATCCGTAGATGGATCCTCCGTAGTCTCTTCTGTAAACATATCTTCTAAAAGGCAGAGTGCATCAGAATTGATATCAAATGTACGCCCTTGCTTTTCCTATTCTATTTGAATGACCTTCCGAATAATTTGCTTCCCAAAAAGCTTTATTTTTGTGGATGACTCTTCAGTCTATACTTCATACGAGAAAAGCGACATTTCAAAAAATATACACCAGCCTATTCAAAATAATAATAAAATAATAATCTTGCTCTACTCTACTTTAAATGTAGGATTATGAACTGTCATGTAATCATGTGATTGTTTATAAGCCTGCCGGATTGGCAAGCCATACTTGAACATTGAGCTGGTCTTTATTGGATTATATAAAAGTCTAAGACCTTCTAAACGGAATTTCCCCGACTCAGAAGGTACATTTTCAAATATGATATCAATTTGTCTGAATTATTGATTTTTAATGACGTATTATGTCTGCGTATATTTATAACACGACATGTTGCCAATGGCGTGTCGTTAGAACAACTGCTAGATATTGAGTTCAGGAGTTGAGATGATGCCCTTGCTGTACAAAATTGGACTTCACTTTTCTGACATAACATTCTTCTTTGCATTTATTCTGAGCTTCAATTTCTACTCATCATTTATCATTACAGGCAAAGAAATATAGTATATTATATTGTATTGTATTATATCGTATTATTATTATAAGCTCACATGGTGAGTTATTGCAATCACCCACTTGTCCGTCTGTCAACAATAGTGGCACTTTTTAAAACTTCTGTCGACAGGATTCCCGTTTTAAGTTATTTCTGTTCAACATCAATACAGAAAACTCCCCTAGGGCTCCTGGTTCAAAAGCTCGCCTCTTTTCAAAATGGCCGCTATTTTTGTCTCGCAAAATTCACTTCTGGACCATTTGGTAGCTTTATAAATGATTTCAGATGTCCTCCGTTGTAATAATCCATGTCAATGTAAAAAGTAGTTGTAGGAAATTAATTTGTTACAAAAATCGCCAAAAAAACTATATCCGTCTTTTTTTTATTTTCAGCAATTTTAGCTAACATTGATTTCTCATTCAGTCTCTCAGTCAGTCCACAATAGTGGCATGTCTTAAAACCTCTGTCCATAAGATTCCCATTTTAAGTTATTTTTGTTCAACATCTATACAGAAAACTCCCTATGATGACTACTGGTTCAAAAGCTCGCTTATTTTCGAAATTGCCGCCATTTTTTCTCTCGTAAAATTCACTTTTAGACAATTTTGGTATCTTTATGAATAATTTGAGGTGACCTGCACTGTAAAAGTCCATGTCGATGTAAAAAGTAGTTGTATGAACTAATTTTGTTGCAAAAAATCGCCAAAAATAATATCCGTTTTATCTTTCTCTCAGTCAGTCCACAATAGTGGCACGTTTTCAAACCTCTGTCGATGCGATTCCCGCTTAAAGATATTTTTGATACAGAAAACCCCCCTATAATTCCTGGTCAAGAAGATCGCCTATTTTCGAAATGGCCACCATATTTCTATCGCAAAATTCACTTTTTGACCATCTGGTAACCTTATAAATAATTTCAGGTGTCCAGCATTGTAAAAATCCAAGTCAATGTAAAGAGTAGCTGTAGGAAATAATTTTGTTACAAAAAATCGCCAAAAATGATATAATTCTTCTAGCCATTTTAGTTCATATTGATTTGTCCACAATAGTCGCACGTTTTAATTAAAACCTCTGTCGATAGGATTCCCGTGTTAAGTTATATTTGAAACATAAATACTGAACCGCCCCCCACATAATTCCTGGTTCAAAAGCTCGCCTATTTTCAAAATGGCCGCCATTTTTGTCCTGCAAAATTCACCTTTTGTAGCTTTATAAATAATTTCAGGTGTCTTGCATTGTGAAAAGCCATGTAAATGTTAAGATAAGTTGTATTAAATAATTTTGTTACAAAAATTAAGATTAAATATTTTTGATGTCAACAGATATTGTACTGGTCAGTTCATGTACAAAATCTTTAATAAGCACCCCAGTCTTCCAAAAAATCTATTTCAAGACTTGTTTGATATCAAGATTAATATTCATCATCATTACACAAGTCAACTGCATTATTTTCGTATCCCTAAATGCTCTAAACTTTCCCTTTGCTATCTAGGTCCTAATCTTTGGAATGCTCTACCACATGATATTAAAAAATGCTCCACTCTAAATATTTTCAAATCTTCATATAAAAAACTACTCATCTATCGATAATGTATAATACCAATATCATACTGTATTGTTGATTTTATACTGGTACCTGATATTTTGTAACATTTTTTACATTGTACATCCTTAGATAAATTGTTAATACCATTTTTATATACCTACATGTAACATAATATAAGTGTTTTCTTTTATATGTAGTCTAGATGTCATTTTAATAATTTCTGTTAAACCGCAACATATACCCACTAGGGTGTCTAGCGGCTTGTTTTTATAAATAAAAATTGAATTGAAATTGAATTGAAATTGAAAAAATTGCCCCAAAAATTGATCCGTTCTTTTTTATTTTCAGCCATTTTAGTTAACATTGATTTGTCCATCTGTCTCTCAGTCAGTCCACAATAGTGGCACGTTTTAAGACTGTTGATAAGATTCCCGTTTTATTTATTATCTGCCATTTAGCCATCATTCACCTTTCTCTTTTTAAGCAACACCATGTGAGCCCAGTACCCACGGTACTAATTTATATTACATTATATAAATATTTTATTTTCACACCTATCTTATATATCAATAGCTAATTAATTTTTAATCGCATTTTCATAGCGTTCGAACTAAAATTAGATAAGCGCAATTTATTATTCCATTTCTTCCTTGTAAATCCAGTTTTTCCGAAACCTTAGTAATGTTGCCGTAGTGTTGCTCTCTTTTTCTAATAAATAAGGTTAAATACGCAACACCGAATAGATTATAGTCATAGCTTTGGTTGTAAAGAGTACAAAACAAATTCAATGATAGGCGTGACCCTTAAAGAGGTAATGTATTTTGTATGTACGAAACAAATACTCATCGCCTCATCGCAATTCTCCTGCATAAAATATAACATTGAAATTGCGGTATTTTGTTGAACGTATTTTGTTAAATGTAGGTATTAAACTTATCCACTTTTCAGAAGTGAATAAATTCAAAATTATGAATTCGAAAGACTAGGCAACTGAGAGGTACAAGACACTACCGTATTCCCACAAATGCTAACAATTTATTTAAGACGTTAATAACTTCGAATAGAATAAAGAATGGCTTATACGTAGCTAACATTAGAAAAGGTCAAGCTACAGGGTGGGCCAAAAGACGCCACTTTTTTTCAAAACACTATAACTTTTTCATTTCCAACCTCAATACACCAAATTTTGCAGTTATATAGTGCCAGGGGTCCTAAGATATAAAATAATGTAACAAGTTCTTCAAATTGCAATGATATGGAATAGAAGTTTGATTGGTCAGCCACCCTCTTTGATGATAGCCTTAAGTCTTAGTCGCCATGCTGATATACCAGTATCAATGAAATGTTGACTAAGTTTCTTTCAACCCGTCTTAATTGTCAGCTTAAGTTGAGCAATTTTTGAGATTGGGTGCCTTTATACCATCTCTTGGAGACCATCCCGTACCCTATACTCACTGGGGATTGCATCATGACTAATAGCTCGATGGTCATTAGGCCGTATCAGTTCAGGTATATTATGCAAATTCTGTTCATTTCTCATGGCACCACACATGTTTAAGTGAGACGTTGATGACATATTTTATTCAAGTATAAGTGTACAATTCATAATTCATAGCTAGATTGCATCTTCAAGTTTCATGTGGCATGCAAATTACGATTTTGGATCAAAAATTAAAAAAGTTATAGCATTTTGAAAAAAGTGGTATTTTTGGCCCACCCTGTATATCATGCTTTAAAGATGAGTAGGAGAATACAGGAGCCCTGTCTTCAAGCCTGTCACTACTAAAATGAAAATTGAAATGCCAAAATATGTTGAATGTGTTTTTAACAGATTAGTTAATGATGCTTGGTGCAAATGACATTTTTTGCGAATGTGGGTTACCTGAAACACCTTCCCATTTTATTTTGAAATGTCCCTTGCTAGAAAATGTGCGAGATATCCTATTTGCTGGACTAAGAACTTCACATCTTCATCATTTGGTTCAAAATTTAAACACAGATGACAAAATTTAATCTTTTGTTTAGTGACATAAACTTAGAATGAAAAACTCAGTAATAGATCTACCATAGATCTAATGAGCCAAATATATTAGTTTGGTTGATTTTCCATATATTGTGTCAAAACAACCCTGACCCATGGGATGATTGTTTCCCTTATGAGTTTTATCACTACATAGATGACTTTTAAATTTTGTTGTTTTCCTATTCTAATTGATAAGAATTGCCGCTGATGTTTATATAAAGCTTTGGCAAAAATATTTACCAGGCCACTCAAATGCACTGTCGGTAGTAGTTCTTTCGTCTCTAAGGCCAGATGGAGGGCGAGGTTGGGGGAGAACTTGAGGTTGAGGAGGTTGAGGGCCTCGTGCACACGCACCTGAAAGATATGTAAAATCAAAATTACAACATGACACATTGAACACTTGGGGGTATGATGCAACAACACCGTGTTGTTGCATCAAGATGGCCAGCCTTCCGGAAATGGAGTTTCGTAAGATATTTTGTTTTCCAATTTAAACATATTTCTTCGACGAATTTCTCATAATCATACACGTCCAGTTGGCGCACGATCTATATTTTGAAAACTGTCATTGATCGGGAGGCATCATATATTTCAAATGAGACACGAGGAAGTCAATATTGAGCAAGTGATGGCTGTTTTAAATTCAAATAAAACCGTTAACCCGTACCGGTCCAGCTTTTGACCCGTACCGGTCAATTTTCGTTAGCTGCGTATACCAAGGGTGTTTGTATCACTTTGGAAAATGGACCAAAAGGATGAAAATACTTATACCTGTTCTTTGAGACTCCAGCAATACTTTGAAAACCGATATATTTGACAAACAATGACTGTTTGTTCGTTCGTGCGTGCATTCGTCCGATCTTACGTTCGTCCGGTCGTTTTTGCACGCGTTTGTCTAGCCGTCAGTTTGTGCATTCGTCGGACCGTTCGCGCCGTGCGTCCGTGCGAGGGTTCGTTCGTTTCTTGTTCGTAAATACTTTGTGCGTTCGTTCCTGTGTTTGTTCTTGGCCCGTTCATTTGTGCATTCGTTCGTGTCTGCGAGCTTGCGTGTCTTCGTGCGTGGGTTCGTTCGTTTGTAATTTCTTTTTTGTTCATTCATTGTTTTTGGGCTGTCCTTTCGTCCATCAGTCCGTCCTTTCCTTGTTTGTTTGTTCGTTTGCAGGTTTTCCACAAAATATGTCTTGTCATACATAAAGTCAGTAAGTAATCGAGCAAGCAAGCGGACAAGAGAAGTATTTAAATAAGCAAGTAAGGAATGAACAGAGAAAGTATTCGAGGAAATGATAGTGGAAGTAATACTTGTAAGCAAAAAGGACGAAGAGAAGGAAGGACGGGGCAATGAAGGAGGTGAGGAAATAAGTAGGAAGGAAGGAAGAAGGTACCTCGGAAGGAAGGGAGTTGGTAAGAAAGAAGTAAGCGGGGAAGGGAAAAAGGAATAAGGTAAGCTAGGAAGGACGCAAGTAGGGAAGGAAGAGGTATAGAAGAATTGATAAAAGGAAGGAAGAATTGAAGAAATAAATGAAGGAAGGGAGGGAAGAAGGGAGGAAAAGGGTAAGGATGTAGTAAGGAAGGAAGGGTGAATTCAAGAACGGAAGGTAGTAAGTAAGTAAGTAAGGAAAGGAGTAGGAATGAAGAATGAAAGGGACCGAAAGAGGGAGGGAGGAAAGAAGTAAATAGGAAGGGAGGAAGAAAGAAAGGGAGGAAGGAAGGGGCGAAAGAAGTTGGGCATGAACGAATAAAAGAAGTAGGAAGGAAGTGAGCAAAGAAAGAAATGAGCATAGAGTGAATTAATCAAGAAAAGAAGGAAGGGGGTGAAATAGTGGGTGGTTGAGTGAGTGGGTGGGTGGGTGAGTGAGTATGTAAGCTGACAACAGGCGATTGAGACAAAAATACAATTATAGTATGACTGAACATTTTTTCTGACTTAGTCGTTATAGGCTGACCTAAATGGTTACACGTGAATCTTACTGAAAATCGACTTGTACTCATATATGATGGAATTCCACTTACTTTTCTACTTTTCAAAGAATCGGACTAATTGGATTTGATGCGTAAAACCAACAACAGTTATTTTTACATCATATTATGAAAATAAGTTAAAACATATCAACCGATCTAATACTCATCACATTTCTAAGATGGCCTTTCTTGTTTTGGAAAATGGCATGGAATATCATTCTGCAGTTTTTCTATTACAACGTGTATGTACTATATTAAAACATAGTTGCTGTTTTTGAGAATTGTATCAACAAATAATGTAATGAAACTGGGTACAATAGTGGATCAATCTGGAGGCGATAGTGGGAGATTTTCAGGGTATAATCAGGATTAACTCAATTTTTGAGAGACACTTGCTCCTGTTTTCAACGGGATCTCCTCATGTTTTCAGCGGGACCCCCTGGTGGTTTTAGCGGAGTCTTTGCTTTATTGCTGCTACTAAAAGCTGGGCCTTAGGGATATTATAAAATTGAAATATAAAGTCCTCTGTAAAGCTTTAGTAAGTGAAACTCGGTACATTTTTATTTCAAATCACCATCATTATTTCAACCAAAGGACAACGTCGTTCTTCACCAATAACGTATAGAAATGTATAGATAAAGATTCAAGATGATATTTTCTCTCTTCAATGGTCAAATAAAGAACCACAGAGCTTTTTTCGTCTCAATACCATGTAATCATTGGGGAAAATTAAAAGAAAACGTTTTGTACATCATACAATTCAAGTAAACAAAATATAACCCATCACTTCTTTTTTTATTCCTCGCGATTTCAGCATGATTTTTTAAATCAAAGCGGGGCTTTGAATACCACCCGTGATTTCGTAACTATATGAACAAAAACGAGCGCATACTATATTCGCTCAATTCGATGCATTATCCCGCACACGATTTTCTGAGACATAGAAGTTCGAATTTCTCTTTAACCGGGACCCGCGTGAATAAAATATTTGACACATTGAGAGTACGGGACGCGTTTCGCAGAGATATGAAGTGTAAAAATATGTTTTGAGTGCATTTCTATACGTGAAGCGAAGACACACCGCGAGACATGAATGAAGCATACGCCTGCATGAGAAAAGTAATAACGTGACTGACTACCCCTTGTTATTAAGTTATGTTTTTTGAGACAACCAAATGTGTCATTTTGTATAGTACCTCGGACTATACCTTTCTTCACTCGTCGAAGGAAATATTCTTTGTCCAAATATGGATTCTTATTATAGTGTGCTTTCCAATAATCCGCCTGTTTCTCGAGGTCTCTTGCCTTTGGAAGGTCCCCTCCAATGTTTAGTAGATATAGTCTTGCAGCCAAAAGAGAGTAGAATGATTCGTTGAGTTGTTCATATGTAACCTCCATCCACTTGACCCCATAAAGCTCCAAAATCCTATTGTGATGGCTTGTAAGATTGGGATGTGACTGAATATCCCGTGTATCATTATAACATATCCCATCCAACTGTCAAATAGGTAATGACACTCAATGTGACAGCGTAGCTTTTAATATATATTTATATCAATTAATGGTCAAATGATTGTTACAAATAATAAAAGGCATAAACAAGAACTTCCAAAGTGGATAAATATAACATTTTGATGACACTCAAAGTGCGTTCTTTATTTAAAGATAAATGACGCTATTTGTCCCAATGTTCCAATGCACCAATGAAGTTGAAAAATTAACCCTTTCGTCACCAAGGCGTAACATTTAAAAATAAATCAGAATCTTTTTTTGTCCATTATTTCATCAATTCAGTTTAAATTTCATAACTACAAAAGGTACTCTAAGCAACACAACAGTATATGATTAGGATGCTTGACTCTACCATGTCAAATATCACCCAACTTTTGTGATTATGAGTCAAAGAAAGCATTCCAGAGTTTCAAATTGACTATAATAATTTGAAGTCATATGCTAATTTATTCCACCTACTTTTTATTGTTTCTAGAAAAATATTCTTTGAAAACCAAAGGACAAGTCTCGGTTTGGAGAAAAGTCTGCTGGACTAATATTTTTTTGATGAAAAATATAGAAATATCATCCCAATTAAATTTTGAATATTCAAAAGAGGACATTTACACATACAAGATGTAAAACTATCAAAATTTTCCGAAGCAGACGTAACGTGCAGTAGACCGATTCAATAAAAGACAAATGTTAACTATATGAGTGTAATTGTATTTATTGTAAGTGTGCTTAGATAAGCTATTTTTGTTGAAAACGTGTGACCACGTAATTTGCACTGCAGGGCTTAATGTTCTTTTTCACTATACCCGGGGGAATCGTACATATCCCTAAGTGACATCAATGCTATCCAGTATTACTTCACTTAAGGATTTGACAGGAGTTATTTGTGTGTTTCAACCATATGTTAAGCATTACATATCCATTGAAGCAGCATATTACTACAAAAAATGACAAAAACTTTTAATAATCATATCACCAGTATTCAAAATTTACTATTTCTATTCCTAAAGTATAATTCACTGCATTCACCAACCCATTAACAAGTGCAACCAAAATCTCCATGTGCTTACATGCACATAGCTAAGTGGACTGCTGTTAGCTTTTATCACCGAGGTTTGATCTTAGAACTCCCCAAGCCCTGTGCCCTTTGTAAATTTTAAATTTTAAATATCGATTTTGCTGCCATAATCAAAATATCAAATCACAAAATTCAATGCAAATGAAGAAAATGGTCCCACTGGCGCAATCCAAACAGAAATTACAATTCCCGTGAAAAGGGTTTAGTTACCCCTGGATTATAAACAAGTGTCACCACCTACCCTTTGAGAGCCAAACCTTAAACTCTGAATAATTTAACCATTAAAATATAATGACCTTTGTGTGTTGATATATTTGTAGCATAATGGGCTTACTGCACTTAATCTTAGCCTTTCTGGGTTTAAACTCTTAAATATTCGCCAAATTATAATTTGACATTAAATTAGTTATGGTAATCCTAAAGATAATCTATTCTGGCCATAGGGGCATTTGTCATTTTGAAATTGATTTTCATAAAATTAATAATGACTCCTTGGGGATGAAAGGGTTAATGTTTTACAATTTCATTGATTGTCCAAGCTCTTATAGATACACTGATACAGGCCCGTAGCCAAGATTTGCCAAGGGGGGGGGGGGGGTTCAATTTTCAAAAATTTCCAGGGGGGGGTTCACATTTGACAATTTTGGCCCAAATTAGGCTAAAATCACTAGAGAAGTGCTCAAAATGGTCAAAAACTGCATGATTTTGAAATCAGGGCCGTAGCCAGGGGGGGTTCGCCCGAACCCTGCGAACCCCCCCTGGCTACGGGCCTGCTGATAGGTATAGATCCTTCGGGCATTACCTACCTGCCATATTCCCCCTCTACTTGCATTATATGTTGGATCTGTTCCATAGCAGGATTCTACTTTTGCAATATTTTTCAAAAGGTCGAGTTCATCAGGATTGTCATCAAATTTACGCAGCTTTTCCAATGCATTGTCGACAACCCTTTCAGCAAATTGACCAGACACAGCAACTGATTGATGTTAAAGTTGGAATTACTACATGTCAAATCAAGTGAAGATAGGCAATCAGGTGTTATTATGAGGTTCATGCGTTTGTGTCCAATGGGTCAGCCTAATTTTTAGTTAAAGATTCTCGCAATCTTTATCCAATCAGCGTTTGCGAGTGTGTCGGCTCACGTATAAAAGGCGAATCCAACTCAAATCCATGCAGGGGTGTATGAGGTACTCGAATAGGAAAGAGCTCGTGAAATCTGAATTTATATGCACATGGTCAATGTTTACACATGTTTGGAGTTATTGAAGAAAATGTGATATGGGTGTGGTTCCGAATTTGAAGTCATTGCTGGAGAATATGATTTTAATACGTGAAATGATATCTATAAATACAGCACTAAAAATAACAGTACACATGAAGTACATGTATGATTGTGTTCAGAAATGTTTGAAACCCTTACGGAAAATTCTGTCTGCATTTTGTCACCATTGCTCTTTCTTCCCGCATTCTAGTGCTGTTTGAATGAATATATTAATTAATGTATTTCTAACTAGAATATATCAAATTTTTTTATAAACCACAAACATTTAGATCATAAAAAAATTATTCAATACTTGAGTGAGCACGATATGCAAGGGTTACTAAGTTGACACAGTAAATGACCACTGATATTGTGTTAGTCCATGCACACAGCGTCACATTTGGTAACACCCCTCACTTTCATAGTGAAGTGACTTATTGGTTTTTGTTTACGTTTTACATCCTCCTAAGCAGGTATCCAGAATCCGTACCTCCTTCTTCCCCCTGCTATAACCAATTTGGAAGCGCCCGATTAAACTGAATCACGTGATCTAATTATGCGCAATGACTTATACATGATTTCTGTCGCAGTGTTGTGACAGCCAATCAGATTGCGAGTTCTTAATCGGGGAAACGCTAATTGCTTATCGCAGGGCGTAAAAGAAAGAATATATTCTGGATTTTGAAGCCCTGTGATCGGAGGATGATGTTTTAATGTGTGTTGGGTTCCTTGTTACAGCAAGGGGGGCCAGTAAAGTAGACTAACATGTTTGCATGGCAAGTTTTGATCGAATATGTGAGACACTTTAAATTTGAAATCAAAGAGAGTTGTCCAAAAAATTGAAAATCTTTAGAATGCGAACAAAGATAAATAACTGTACAAATCAAAGTTGTTTTGATAGAAAATTACACGCAGAATTCAAAAATGCCATCAAATGGAGGAAAATGTTGGTCTTTAATGGTAAAAAATGCAGATCTCCTGGAATATCTCATTAAAAAGGAGACTTTAACGAGCTTTCAAAGCTATATGGAAAATACTGTATTATATAAAAGTATCACATAGTGGCGTTTAAAAACAAAAAGGAATAGTATACAGCGGTAAATCTGTGTTTACCATTTAATTTTGTCTGAAGTCATCTACAAATAGTATTCATGCCAAGCTAATTGTATATTGTCACGCCTACAAATACTTCTTTAACCCTGCGAACTTTAACAAGATGGATTGGCCAAAACTCAACAAAGGGTTTGTAGAACAACCGGGTACCGGGTAGTAAATCCTCATTGTGGGTTCAAACTTGGTACTCGGTACCCGGTCGGGTACATTAGAAAACGTTTTGAATTTACAAAAATGTGTGTAACTTCCTTCAAAATTAAACTAGGAGCTTCACAAAAAAGCATTTTAAGGCTATTTCCATCCTCTATCATCATGGTCATAATTTTATTGGTTATGGGGGGGGGGGGGGGGGTTGCGATCGCACCATCGAACCCTCTCCTGGTTACGCCTATAACATTGTAAGACGATTTGAAAAACATGACAAATCAATCTAACTCTATTTTCAATAGTTCGTATGTTGGGTGAAATGTTTTGATTATGATTTAAATCTGTAAATAGCAGAGAGGTGACGGGTGTTAATTTACATGATGCAACGTGTAAGATTTTGATTATTTAGCATAATTTAAGTTATCCCAATTTTCGACGAAACGTCCACTGAAGTGTAAATCGTTACGTCTTACAATGTCATAGGCGTAGCCAGGAGGGGTGAGGTGCAATCGCAAATATGACTATGATGATAGAGGAAGAAAAGAGCTTTAAAATGCTTTTCATTTGAAGCTTCTAGCTCATTAATTTTGAAGGAAGTTAAACACCCTTGGTATACCACGCGGTACAAACTTCGACCGTTAATTCAAATTTTTGACCTACCAGGTGTTTGTAAATCAAGGACTGCGAGTCTCATACTGCACCGTTTTTCTTCAAACTTGTTCCATTCAAAGCAAAACAAAATTGCCTTTCTGTTGGTACATTGTTTTATTGAAAAGAGTCGTTCGTTTTAGCAGCGTTTTGGTCCCCAGTTGTGAGAAGCCCTTCTCACAGCTGGGGACCCAAATGCCGCTGAAAGTAGGGACTCTGTATAGCAGAATATGTACCAACAGAAAGGCATTTTTGTTATGCTTTGAATGGAACAAGTTTGAAGAAAAACGGTGCAGTATGAGACTCGCAATCCTTGATTTTCAAACACCTGGTAGGTCAAAAATTTAAATTAACGGTCGAAGTTTGTACCGCGTGTATACGCAGCTAACGAAAATTGACCGGCACGGGTCAAAAGCTGGACCGGCACGGGTTAACGGTTTTATTTGAATTTAAAACAGCCATAACTTGCTCAATATTGACTTCATCGTGTCTAATTTGAAATATATGATGCCTCCCGATGCTTTTAAGTACCCCAATTTTTTACAGATTTTTAAACGGACCAAAACTCTCGAAATGCGCATTTATGCTCTTTTCTCTCGAGAACGACTGTCTCATTTTCACGATAACTTTTATTTAGTACTTCTAACATATAAGATCTATTTTTCCCCATCAAGGTATGATGTAAATGACATGCTATTTACATATTGTGAGTTTCAATGACGCGCGTTTGATTTTATAAAAAATACCAAACTTTGTAAAAAAGAATTTCCTCCTGCTTGCAGCGAGAAGACGGACCGGTTCGGGGAAATAGCAAAAACATAATTCAGGAATCTTTATACATGTGTGTTACATCTATTATTACAAGGATCTAAAGTTTTAAATCTTCTCTTAGAACGTCTCCGATAGACCGTTACATGTCCGTTGTAAATTCCAATGGTTAGAATATTGCCCATCTATGCGATCAGGTCATTGCTCTATTTTTGTTCAGAATTGCATTCATTTCTGAACAAAATACTCAATCGGCAGGGCGCTGGCAGATGAATCGGGGCTTATTTGAGATTTATTAATTACTTAGTTATTAATTACTTAGTCTATGTCTTTGTTTTTATAACTGTGGAAGTGTACCAAAACCACCTTTATTACAGAAGAGATCATCGAGGAATTACTTTAGATTTTATGATTATAATTATTCTTTGCCTCTAGTCTCATTTCTAAAACCTGCCTCTATTTGCGTATTTAATATTTGTCACAAACTATTTCAGCTATTTTACAAAACCAAAAGTTACTACATTATAGTCCCCCCCCCTTGCACTGTCGAAGTCTACGTCTGTTTTTCAAGTCCCGGACCCACATTGGGCGATATATGTAGAGTATGCATTTAGATTTGTTACTTGATAGGACCTCCTACCCTTTTACAAATGATGGTCCCCCAGGGATTATGGTCCCCTTTCTTAACGGCCCTTACTGGCCCTGATTGCGTATAAGATAATCAGGGAAAGAGTTGTATTGAGGTCACCATATAAATCAATGGAGAGTGGGACCATAATTTGAGAGGACCTCCTACCCTTTTACACCTGGATCCTGACTGTGGAACTCCTTCTATATTGAACTAACTCTCCCTGTTTGAATATACAATATTAAGGAAATGGATAGGTTATTAGGTCAAAGAGTCACCATGTCAATGAGGAAGGAACGTGTAGAACCAATTGCAAATAATAGACTAGATACGAGTATAAATAATCTTGATTTACCTCATTAAATATTCAAAATTCAGTCAAAGCGATGTCATATTTGAAATCTACATGTAAAAGTACATCTAAAAATATGGTTTCGAAAGTTGTTTATCAATTTTGAAGCCACCAGCCATAGTATTTGAGACTGATTTGAGATACATTTCATCCCATTTAAACTGTTTTCCTTGCACATTTGAAATTATAGTAGACAGGCATCACATTGGAGGAGGGGGGATGAGCATTAACATAATCAGATTTTAGGATGCATTTGCAAATTGTATTTAAAATTCACATGGGAACTTAAGGAAAAGAAGGAAAATGGGTCTTAAAATTTGACACTCACTCATGGAAATAGCATGGTGCCTGAAAACGTGTGCCAATTTTGGTCCAAAAATGGCCGAAATCACCTAAAACGTGTTCAGAATGGTGAAAACCGCATGATTTTGAAAGATTTTTTGCAAGGGGGGGGGGGTAAATCGAACCCATCGAACCCCCCTGGCTACGTGCCTGTGACGGGCCTAATATCTAGAGGGGGCTTGATAATGATCAGGGGTGCGGGTAAACAAATTCTTATTCCCCGTCGAACATGAATACACTTATATTTGCAAGGAGATGATGGGCTGACGCAAGTGAAGTTAATTTGTTGTTGTATCATAAGTAAATAAGTCTAGAAATACACGGACAAAATGTAATCAGAAAGGTGGACTTATTAGTATTATTTGTTTTGATTAATGATTATACATAACTAAAACGCTATGTTAGATGTCTGTAATCCCCCCCCTCACCAAGGGTTATGCATTGTTTCGAGTGATATAAAATAGTAGATTCGTAGAACATTGATAAAACAGCCTCGTTACGTTTGGAACATACCTGTACTACTATTTCGTACTTTCGCACATTAACATTACAATTTATCACAAAATGTCATGTTGACCTCGATTTGACCCTTTTGAGTTACCTTTCGAATAACAATACTTTTTTGAAGTGCAAATTGAATATTAAAGGCTTGCAAAATACCAACAATATTGAAAACAGATAAGTAATAATAAATCGCCGGGGGAATTCCAAATATCC